AAAATAGGAGAGAGAGTAAAGTTCAGTGAGGAACGGTGTAATTTACCCTTTATATTTTTAATTATTTTATATTAAATAATAATAAAAAATAACACGTCCGTTAGAGAGTTAACGGTAGAGTGAGTAAAATGATTCAATCAGTAAAGTTCAATGAGCAAAATAGAAAAATCAAAAAGTACGATGAGCAAAATAGGAGAGAGAGTAAAATTAAGTAGAGAACCGTGTAATTTACCCATAAAATAATAAGAATTGAAAGTAAGAACTGCGCGGATGAAACAACTATCTTAAAAGCAAAAACGTCTCAACCGGTTAATTCTTGAAAAATGAACATTGTCCCTTGACATTGACAGAATCTTTCAAAATTTGTATACTCAAAAATTGAAGTAAAAATCAACGGAGTTATTCTTCTCCGAACTTTGATAGAAAACAGAGAGAGAGAGAAACAAAAAAGCTGAGAGAACTATTGTAGAGAGAATGTTTTTGAATGGATTAGAATGAGAGCATAAATGATCAAGGCTGATGATTTCTCAAAAAAAATACGCATACATATATACAAGGAACATGTCTACAAATGCTAAACAAAGAAAGCTACATAAACTACCACTTTCTTTTCTTATCCCATGTAGAATATTCTTTTTAAATTCACTGCATTTCTAACAGATTTTATGTTTATTATTAATTAATTTAAAATTGTATTTATCTAAAATTCATTATAAAAACAATATCCATTTTTTAAAAAAAATGACATTTACAAATATTATCTACATAGTTGATCTTAAAATAAAAAAATATCAAATCTTAAAGATTTAAAAAATTATAAATCAATTAATGTAATTAAAATTAAAAACTGAAGCCGGCAAAAATTATTTGGTAATAGTTTCATAAAAAACAAAAAAAACTAACATGTTTAACAAATATATATAAATTACTGTAAGTAAATATAATTAATTTTGAAACAAAAAATGTAATTAAAAAACATAATTAGTATAGGTTACATTTAGTAGTCACCACTAAAAATATAATAATATTATTTACGTGTCACCTTAAGATAATATCGTATTATCAATAAAAATAAAAATAAATATGTCACATCAGTAATAGTTTACGTAAACTATTATGTTTTGGGGGAATTTCAAACTTGGGCCTTCTTGGTTAATAAGCAATAGCCTCAACCACTGCTCTAAGACAAGTTCGGGTATAATGCTTACATAAACTACTATTTATCTTATAATATGACGAATGTCAGAACAATAAAAATAGAATTAATAATAAAACGATTTAATTTGAATAAATTAATATTTTAAAATATATTGTTTATATTCAACACATCCCACCCATAAAGTATACTGTTTATATTCGACCCGTCTCGAATTGATTATAATAAATTAATATTTTAAAATATTTAAAATAATATACTTATAATTATTTATTATATTTTAAATGGTTGAAATAACATATTTTTACCTTAAACTCGATCCGGTTTGAATATAAGAAAAAAGATAAACTAGTAATTTATACCAGTTGGGGTCAGGTCGGTGATTTATTACCTTAAACCTGATCCCACCTCGATTCGAATATATTAATACTTTAAAATAATTAAAATAATATATTTAAAATTATTTATTATAATTTAAATAGTAAAAATAATATATTTTCCTTAAACCCGACCCTCGAATATTGATATAAAAGAATAAACTAATAATTTATACATGGTTGGAACGAGTAGTTTTAGTGTTGTTTTTATTTTCATTATTCTGACCTTCATTATATTATAAGATAAATATTAGTTGGTGTATGGATTATACCATAAACTTGTCTTGGAGCAGTTGTTGAGGCTATTGTTTAAAAACCAAGGAGGCCCGGGTTTGAATCCACCTCCATCCCCTGGAAAATATGATGTTTCAATTTATCTTCCTTTCATCAAATGGCGCCATGTGTCCATTTGATTGGAGGAAAAATATGTAAATTAAATTAATAAAAGCCTTCCAATAATATCGTGACATGTATTATCATATAATTGATTGAATGATTAAATAGATTGAATTAATTTAAAATGCGACCAATTTGATAAATTGTGTAAGTAATAATTACTAAATCTAAATTATACCAATTTTAATAACTGACAATACCAATTTTAATAACTGACACATCAACACTTCTGTTAAGTGTTAACGGCTAGTGAAATGATTGAATGTATTTAAATAGTTGGGTGTTCTGAATGACAAAAATTCAAAAATGATAGTCAAAATAAAAAGAAGATATAATTAAGTAATCATTGATATAGTTTACCTTTTAATTTATTGGTAGCGGGGGATATTGGTTTTGTATTGGGCTTGGGCATGGATATAAGAATGCAAGTGTTATTATGTCCGTCGAAAACATAGTTTTATTGTGGCTTAACTATAAAATAAATGTCCAAATTATAACAATTTTTACGAATATATACCTAAATTATTTTTTGAATGATCTTGATTTTTAATGTTATAAATATTATTATTTTAGGTGCTCGAACTGCTAATGACGTTAATTTCCTCTGTTAAGTGACACGTGTCACAATATGATAATTTTCAAAATTTCATTTAAAATTAAAATTATATTAAAAACAGAGAAATTTCAAAATAACCCCAAAACTTTAACAACCTTCATTTCAACTCCTAAATCCACATTGACCACTGCCCTTTATAGACGATAAAGCTCCACCTGACCTCATCTCTCCCGACAACCAAAATCCCTATGAAATCGTGACCGATAGACGACGAATCAATGTTTTATACCTAAAAACCCTATGATGAAAATTGTGATCCAACATGATTCTAACGGTCAATCGGCAACAGTTACGGCAGTGTATGACTAGGAGGATGGTAAATACTTCGTCGACGGTGATGTTCGTGGTCGGAAAGAGTGACGACAGTGGGTTAGGATTAGGGTTTAGGGATTTTTGTATTTTATAAGAAATTATGGTTTTTTATAAATATAATAATATTGTTAATATTTTTAAAAAATAAATTTTAAAATTATCATATTGTGTGTCACTTAAAGGATATTAACGTCGTTGACAGTTCGAACACCTGAAGTGATAATATTTATAATGTTAGATACTGAGAATATTCAAAAAAATAATTTAGATATCTATTAGTAAAAAACACTATAATTGGAGCAATTATTTTATACTTGACTCTTTTATTTTTATGTTATTACTTACAAAAAGAATTGTTCGTCCAGCTTAGTTGGTAAGAGCGTAAGACTCTTAATCTTGTAATCGTGGGATCGAGTCTCACGGTGGACAATTCATAATTCTAACTGCAGAAAGTCTCCCATAAAAACTGCTATCAACCTGACGTTGGAGATATGTTATTATCTTATACCCATTTCATATGAAAATAGAGTAAACGTTTAAATGTTGAATGAGGAAATGAGGAAAACACGTGGTAGGCGCTGCCTTTTCCATTTCCTTTTCATTGCGGTCCCCACACCACCATCTACAGCTGTCAACACTCACCACATTCGTAACCTGAGACTGAAATTTAGATAAAATACACAAATAATTATTAAAATTTATCAATATATTTTTTAAAGAATATTAATATGATTATTTATTCATTACATTTAAAAAAATACTATGAATATTAAATTTTTTATTCCAATATAAAATAGATATCACAATGTTAATTATTGTTAACTGCAACTAAATAAGATGAGATGTCACATGTAATTAGTTAATGAATAATATTTTATTTAACTTTTTAATTATAACTAGAATTATTATTTAAAAATATTAAAGTAAAAATGAAGAATCAAATAAAATATTATTACATCTGTTAGTTTTTTTATTAATATGGGCTAAGTACTAAGCATTATATGTTCAAAGATAACTCTCAACAATTTGACATTGAACGCTCGCACTCCTAACATTTCTAGTACTCGAAAGTGAGACCTCAAGGAATAATAACAATTCATTTACTACTAAGGTTACTCAGTTCTAACTACATCTATTAATTTAATATGTCATGTCATCCACTTAATAATAGATAAAACTACTATCATGTAATACTTATTTTATAATAAAATTAAATTTTAATATTAATTTTAAAATTTTAAAATAAAACAATAATGAAAAATATCATTTTAATACTCACTTTATTCTATTAAATTTGTCCCTTGTTGATTTTTTTTAGTCAAATTTATTTAATTTTGATTCATCATTATTTAAAATTTATTATTAATAAAAATATAAAATTTATATTTTAAAAACATTAAGTCAAGTAATTTTTAAATATATATTTTATAAAATTTAATTATTTAAAATATTTAAAATACTTATGATTAAAGTTTAAAATCTTTTACTTTTTTAAAAATTAATAATGAACATATTTAATAAAACGAAAAAAGTATAATGTATTTCATATTTTATAAATGAAATATAATTTATATATTTTACCTATTAAATTTTAAAATTCTTTCTTTAAAAGTTACATCATACTGTCATATTATTCACGTCATTTTGAAGAGTATTTTATTATTTCTTTTAAAATAATTATTTAGTTAACTAAGTATAATATCCTCTCATAGAAAATCGTTAGTTTTATTAAAAATAAAAAATATTTAAAATTATAATAAAAAGTTATAAATATAACTGTAAATTTAAAATATAATTATGATATTTTTTTATTAAACTAATCACTTAGATCACATAAGTATTAAAGAAGTAAAATGTTAAAAAATCTAATAAAAAAACTCAAACAAAATAAAAATATAAATAAATCTGATTGCATCGGCAAACGAATCACAAAAGAAGATGAAACTATTGAAAGATAATCGATAAATCGTAAATCAGAATCACACGACGTAATAAAACTATCTACAAACATAAAATACATATCTAAATAATATGAAAGTTCAAAGCATGAAAGATTAATATAATAAAAAAACGTCATCTCTCTATCATATAATCTATAAATATTAGTAATAATAAAAGATGAAAGAGAAATCACAAATAATTAGAGACGGCACAACTTTATAAGCCCGTGTGCTTAGATTTGTGTATGCAAACTATATAAATCGTTAGGTTTATTGCAGGGAAAAGCAAGAAAGCAGAAGTGGAGCGACATGGTAGGATTTTCTTCCCAAACACAACCGTGGGTTTTCACCACAAACTCCGATAACTTTGATAAACAATGTCTAGATTTGGTAAAGATGGATCAAGAAGATGAAGATACCAACAAGAGCAACCCTGATGTGATGAGCAATAAGAAGAAGAAGAAGAATGAGGTGTTGCTGGAGGCGGTGGATGAACTGAAGAGGACAAAGAGCTTGACCGGAGAAGACCTAGACGAACTAAAGGGGTGTTTAGATCTGGGGTTTGGCTTCAGCTACGACGAAATTCCCGAGCTTTGCAACACCTTACCTGCACTTGAGTTGTGTTACTCTACGTCTCCTACTAACACCACCCTCGCCAATTGGAAGATCTCTACTCCTGGTCCGTCATTTCTTTTGTTGTTTTGTTTGAATTCCTTTTTAAGTTTCATTCCCTTTTCCATCAGATCTTGTTTTTATTAGGAATTTCAGCGATGATAACCTCTGGTTTCTTGCCCTTTTTTGCTAGGTGAAATCTGGGTTTAGCGAGAAAAGAAATATCTAAGAGGAAAACAAATTAAACCTACAAAGGAACTTGGGGGATTCGATCCAGGGACCTTAAGAGTCCCTGGCAGGCCTTTACTACTAGGCCAAAAAATCCATTTGGTTTAAAATTGTCCAACATTTTATATATTTTGTTCAAGGTTGTTTCACAAATGTATGTATATATATATTAAATTATTAAAATAAATCTAATGAGTAAATTATATATATATATATATATTAAATTATAGTTAATTTAAAAATAAAAATGAGTTTAATATTTTTATTTAAATTATTTTTTAAATAATAATATATAAATTATCTTAAAACATTATATTAAAATTATTTAGAGAATCCAAATAATAAATTAAAAATAATTCAAATTAAAAATAAAAATATTAAACTTATTTTCATTTTTAATGTGTGTGAACCAAATGGGTAGTTTGGTATGGTGGTAGAGGCCCAGGGAGTCCCTGGATCGAATCCCCCCTCCCTCACCTTCAAGCTTCTTGTAGGTTTAATTTGTTGCTCTTTTGTAGGTTTAATTTTAATTTGTTTTCCCTCAACATATGTGGTGACACGTGTCACCACCTAATTGATGGATTATTTATTTAATTGAATTAAATTTGTGACAAAATTGATAGAATGTGTGAATATCAATGACCAAATATATAATTTTGCAATTTTATTAACATCCACATTATCACCTCTGTTAAAGTTAACTGTCAGGTGCTTATTGAACCATTTAAATAGTTTAATAGTCTGTTTGATTGCTTTTAAACGTTGGTGGTCAAAATGGTTGATGACCATAGTTCCGTGGTCACACCTGTAGTTTACCCTTTAAATTATGGTGGCTGCCGCGTTTAGCTCTCTTTATATGATTTTAAATTAGAGTTTACCATGATTCATCTAGTGAAAAACAAAACATCTAGAAACAGATCCAAACCGAGGATTCGATTCATCATTAGGCTATAGGAGTAGAAAACCAGAAGATGTTACAGCAAGGCTTAAATTCTGGTCCTCGCAAGTTTGGTTTTTATTACCACGATTGATTCGTTCTAATAGTAATACACGCAAGTTTGAAACTGCAGAATGGGTTTTAACCTTGAGCGCCTTTCTTATGTGTATGCATACATTACAGGTGACCATCCAGAAGATGTTAAAGCGAGGCTCAAATTCTGGGCACAAGCTGTGGCTTGCACCGTCAAACTATGCAACTAAAAGATTCAAGAACAAACAGTGGAAAATTCTTAATGATGATCGTATCAGCCGCATGAACCCTTAAGCTCTGCCGATCCATGGCAGTTGGGGGGATGAAATTTCCTGCAATTGTTGGAAATGGACCAGCCAAAAATCTAAATATGGATCAGGTTTGGGATTACACAATGCTGGAATGAGTCTGACTTAATTCTGCATAGAGCAGGACATATACTATATCTATTGTATTGTATCCACTCTGCTATGAATAAAATATTTCTTTTATTAGCTTATATTCTCACTGCTACTATGATTTGTTGGTGTTTGATCTAATATATGTATGTATGGCAATGGAGTCCAACGGTGCCTTGGTTTTGTATGCGGTTGTGTGAGCTTTTCCAACTTGTTACGGAACTCTGCATTTGCTGAGGTAACAAGCTAATGCATTCACGTCATCTCAGCTTTGCAAACAATAAACTTGTTAAACCTTCGGTGGTGGATCTAGAAATTTTTTTTGAGGGTGGGCACATGAATATTAATAATATAAACATTTTATATCTAAATATATATGATAAAATTTTAGAGTGAACACGGTAAAATTTCAGGGTGGACACACACATATATTAAGAGAGAACTTCGAGTTTTAAAAAAAATCGAATTCTAGAAAATTTCAGGGTGGGCCATAACGTACATCTGCCACTTTATACCTTTGAAGATGATCTGTAACACCCTTATCCCATATACGTACACGTATACGAGTCAAATATATCACATCAGTCATACAAAACATTTACTATTTGAAAATCAGTAAAAAATTGTTTCTTTAAAATCTCAAAATGTATTTCTTTATTTTCAAACTAATAACCGCATAAAATCACAATTTCATATTTAAATATCAAAATTTTAAATTCAATGCAAATAACATTTTAGGCAGTTTTGTACCTTAACATATCTTAAATCAAAACTGTCAGGAACTGTCTGATTTGAAAATCGTTTCTATCATAAATAATTACGTTTTAATAAACCAATATTCATAATTAATAATGTACTTTGTAAAACCAAACCTTCATAACTTAAACAAAAATATCTTAAATAGATCCGAATCAGAGCAACTAGAAACTTCTTTAATATACATGTCACTACCAAATAAATTAACATTCATGAAGTCCTTACTTATTGATTCTGGTTGCAGAACTGATTCCTCGAAAATGATACTGATGTACTCCCTATTTTCTCCTCCTAGCTTGCACTTACGTGTGAAACACTCACATGCTAAGTTTTCACTTAGTAAGACAACCAAGTAAAATAAAATATTTAACTTATAAAACAGTCAGTATCGTATAAAGACATTAATAAAATAAAACACGTATAAAATCAATATTAACTCGTAATAAGAATTTATTATAAAAATACGTAATTCAGATTGTACTGTGCCATTTTAGATTTGTACTTTTCTAATTTAGTTCAAATTTGTACTTTTCTTTCCAATATTTGATCATTTCAAATCCATAATTTTCTTATTCATATCAAACCTTTGCCCATTGTATTATCATGAAAATACGCGGTACATGAGTCAAATAACGAGTTAGTGCGTTGTATACCAAATTTATTGTCAAAACAGATAGCACGGAGTCACTCCACCTCGTGTACCACTTAGGCACTCGAGTCAGACTACGGGTGACCCATCTAGATACCATATAATACACATATATAGCTAATCAGATGCATCGAATTACTCCACCTCGTGTACCACATTGGTGTCATTTCATAAACATATTTAGATTTATTCCACCTCATGGCATGCCATTGTACCACTAACCCTCATTTCCATTCAATGGGCTTTATTCAAAATTAGTTACTAATTTGCATATAAAAACCATTGATCCATATAATCAAATATAAAAACATTTATATAAAATCATATCTAGGTAGTTCATACCCAAAAATATTCACATACTATGAAATAAAACATCGAATAAAATAATTTGGGTTATTCAAACCCAAAATCATATAAAAAACATTTAGTAAATCAGTATAAAGATATTTCATAAAATAATTCAAATTGTTTCAATCAAAAACCTTCGAGGTTGGCTTATCGCAAGTCGTCATCATATCAAATAAAAAATAAGTAAGTTTCACTCACCTGGTGTCTCACTAGCTTATTCCACAATCACCTTTATAACCCTCGTATCCGATTCATTTTGATCTCAATTATAATCATGAACTTGGCTAAGAAGGTTACGGTTAGCTGCTGGAGAAGAAGAAGAATATCAAGAGAATTCTATCAAAATGTCTCTTAATTAAACCATTAAAAGCTAATTTAAAATGATTTTTTTATTTTCTTTTGGCCCAAAAATCTAAATTGCCATTATTTAATCTTTATTTTAACCTCCATGCCACTCTTTTATTTATATTTTAAAATTCTTAAATCACTATAAAAATCTCATCTATCAATTTCCATTTTTGACTTCCAATTTTTTAAAATTTTAATTTAGTCACTAAATTATACTATTTCACTAAGACATGGTAAATTCTTTTAATATGACTGATCCACTTCGAATTTTTCACATTAAAAATAATAAAACGAAAATTTTTAACCTCATACTACCATCCTTCAAATTTTTGTAAATTTTTTATTCGATCTGAATATTCGATTATTTTATCGAACTTTACCGATTAATAGTTTTTTCTACAAATTTCAGATCAAAAATCTGACAGACACAAAAATATTTATTTTAAGGTAAAATATCCATTTATGGGACCAAAAAATATATATATAACTTTTCAAAATTACACTTTAGGTCTCTAAACTTTTCTAATTTTTATATTTTGGCCATCAACTTTCAAAATTTGCATTTTAATCATCTGTTGTAATTTTTGGGTATTATAATTCTCCCCCTTAAGAAAATTGATCCTCGAATTTTCCACATGCACTTGGTTCAACGAATCATTGTATCACCTTCTAAACATCCTTCATATTCTTATGTAATTTTCCTAACTCCCTTTTACTTCAAGAAACTTTAACAACTAGCATCACTTGAATTCTAAATACTCTAACTTCTTTCTCTAACATTCTTATATATTCTTTTTCGTAGTTATATTCTTCGATAGTTAGGCTTTACAAGAAATTCTATTAATCTCTGTCCTATAACTATTACCTTATATAAACTTTTCTAGAGGAATGACTTCATCTAGTGCTTCAAATTCTACTATAACGCCTTTTGAACTTTTTCATGAAAAGTTTTGATCAAACTAAAATAAAGTTTACAGACTTACTTATCTTAATCACTATCATTTAAATCGGACCTTTCCCTTTTAAATATTCAAAGAATTTTCGCTACAATGCATATTTAAATCCTTTTCTATTTCCACTGAAAATTGAAAATTGTTTATTCTCATTCCAAAGATATTTATTACCTTATTTCCAATTTACCGTCATGCCAAGTTTATCAACTGCACTTATTTATAACTCTTGTCATACTTGGTCCTCTAAACCATTCTCTTTATTTTCTTATGTCTTTATTTCCTTCTAGAGTGAAAATCTTCTTTTATTTCTTTACTACCTCAAACATATCCTATAATCCTCAAATTCATCCTCGTTTTCCTATTCTATCCTTAACATGTACTTTTATATTCTTCCTTTGTTCTAACAGAAAAAAACTTTAACTTTACACTTGCATTCATTATGCTATCCTCTTCTTCCATAAATAATTAAAAAATAACAATTTTCGATACAGAAAATAATTTTTGAAATAATGTATCAACTTCAACTCGCTTATAATCCGTAGAAAGTCCTATCCTTTCTCCTTGTTTTAATTTCCACTTCTTATTTTGATCGTCACTTCAATATTTCCCTTTTTATTGTCAATGCAGTTGATCCATCATTTCTTACCTTTCCATTGTGCCATTATCTTCAAGTAAGCACACTATTTGTTAACTTTTACTCATAATTCAAAAAACATTCCTTCTTAAATCGAAAGCTTCCTTGTAACATAGTTCATTTCATTTTCTTCCTACTCCAATACCCTTCTCATACTGGTATGAGAGGCACCATCATAATACTTGTAATCCTTACTGATTGCAGAATTTATTGCACCTTTCTGACTTTGATAGTCTACGCTACTTGCAAATAACAATATTCTGTATTATTTCTTATACTTAAAATTTCTTCACTTAATCCATAATAAACTGAATTCAAATACGTATCTAACCATATAAAATACTTCTTCCAATTCAACTTGTACAATTTCTAACAGATTTTCTAATCCAATTTACAAAATTTACTTTAAGTAGAACTTGTTCAAATTCCTGACTTATTATCAATTAAAAATTCCTATCTCCTCGTACACATTTCGAAATATATTTTCTCTTTCTTCGAATGAAACTCGCTTGATTTGTCTGTTTTATTACATGAGAATCATTTTCAAATATCATGTATAAAATTGTAATAACTTCCTTGACTTACTTCCCAAACTATCAATTTCCAACTGATCTTACTATTCCATACCTTTCATTTCGTTGTTTTTCACCAATTCAAATAAATATTTCTTCCTTTCCTAATAACTTGGTTAGTGGGGAGGGAGTCATCGCGAATTATTTTACGAATCATCCAAACATCTGGCGAGTTCTAGAAAACTCCATGTTTCAGAACAATTTTTTGAAGTTTCTATTCAATCGTAACTTGTACGTGTGCTTTTTAGTGATCTAACCTCTTTACTTTTGGGAAGGTTTGAACCATTATTTGAAAATGTGCTTCATGTCTTTCCATTCCCTTTAACGAAACCAAAATATTGTTAGGAAAATACAATTATCGTTGACTTTCACATACGATAAGGGATTCGATTCCCTAACACATAAATATTAACAAAATCTAGTTTGACTTGAAAATATTTTGTCAAACTTACATTAATCGCATCGAATTCTAATGTCCGATCAAAATTAAATTAAAAAGAAATACTAATATACTTTTAACTACAAAGCTCATCAATCCCTATTAAGCAATCTTTATCGATACGATTCGTTTTCGCATTCTAATCATGGAGGTTGATCGTTTATCGATCATGATTGTTTTCTATAAAATCTATCATTTTCTCAACTTTCTTTCTCAATCATCATAATCTCGTAATCCTTCCGAGCCTTTATGAATCATTAACTTTGAACAACCATCTATGCAGGTCTAACAACGAAAATATCTAATATGTAACCGAAATTATTCTAAATTCT